CCTGGTAAAGAAGGAGGACATTTGCCAATGCACATAAACCGTGGACTATTCACTATTCAAATGTTTTGCCCCAAACCTTTAGGAACCGGGGAACGCGGAAGCTATACCTTTCCCATTAACAACGTGCAGTGGCAATATAATTAGATTTTACTTCCCTTCTAGTCTAGAAAATACAATTAGAAAATTTATAATTTGGAGGCAAACAACTTATCCATTAGGGAAATGTCATGCACAACCTCTACCGAACCTTTTTCAAAACAGCAGAAGCTGAATGATTTCTAGAGTTTACTTAAAGGTATGCGTGGCTGATTGCCGTCAGAACATCATCATGGCAAAACTGTTTCGTTTGGTTTGATTATCTAATTTAGCAAATAAGATTTGTTCGTCATGAAGCAAAAGCGAAAATAGAGTAAATTCAATTTATCAGATAAATGAAAGACTCTTAGAGTTCCATTACGTAACGAGTGAAAGAGATATTATTCCTTTGTTTGAGCGCGAGACGTAGAAATATTTGAGTTCCCTCGGGATAAACCCACCCTCAGACCTTCGAATTCCTCTGTCTAATGCTGTGATTTAGAGGACTCGTTAAAGACCTAGGCAATGCACTGTGTTCGTGTCTGAACCTGCAAGTAGTTAGCCAACCAGATTTACCTACAATCACATGCAAATAAATACTCCTGAAATGCACCAGAATTCAGCAGCCAGAGATAACTGAACTGGATTGCGCGTAGGCAAAACCAATTTACACTTTTAACCCCAGATTGATTTATATTTTCAGTTTTTTCGTTTTCCCGAATCATTGTGCCCTCACATGGAAAACAATTGACCAAAATAATTATTCGTATGGATGTAAAAAGCATGCAATCACAGACGTATTTCCTGCTGTCGCCGCTCTCCGCCCGAAAAATTAAAGGTCCCACGTCATTGAAATCGTTTTGCTGCGCGAGTTTGCCGACGTTTTCTTGCGCAGAAAGAGGCGCCAATCGGACGTATGTAAAATGTCTCGTAAATTTAAATGTATTTTTTTTTTACTTGTAAGACTGTTGAAGAAAGTTCGTGGGGAAAACCACGTGAACTGTTCGCTAATTTGAGAAGCAGTCCGTAGTAGAAAAATAGGCGCCCTCAGATTCTCACTTCAAAAATGCGACAATCCGTCTAATCTAGATAAATTGTGGTCAAAAAGTCGGATTTTTCTTTCAAATTGACCGGATTAATTCATTACTTTTATTTATTTTCTCTAATTTTCCAGACCAAATGAAGAAGGAACCCGGCGAGGATAAACTAAAATAATTGTCGTTGAGGTGTAAAATACTATTATTTTGTTTTTGTCGTGTCTCTGCAAATTTCATCCCCACGCTGTTAGAATGTTTGGCAGATTAGTGAGTATACCAAAAAAAGAACTTTTAAGCCGACTCTGATAATATGATTATTGTAATTACAATTGTCGTCAGTGAAGATTTGAATGATGATTGCTCTTGGACACCCAGTGGTCCTAATTAATTTGAACGAATTAAGAGTAGGCATTAAGCAAAGACGTCGGTTCGATTTGAGTCGCTTGGCACATTCAAATTCGGGAGTAGTCCGCGTATAAAAAGCATTCTTTGACGAGGCAGTGGAACTTGTTCTAACACTTGGCACGTAAGGCTGCCTACTTTAGTTTGTTGGAAATCAAACATTGGGAAATTCACTGTAGTGCAAGTTGTCGTCGAGTACCAGCGAAGAGAGGCATCTACAACGAATTATTTGAATGTGATTTTCAGAATATTGTAAAATTTTGCTGGAGTGAAATAACTGAAAAATTGCCGCAAATTGGCGTAGGTGGTTTTAGCCATCGTAAGAATCCATTCTATAAATAGTTAGTGGCAATATGAATGTCTCCCTATTCAGCATTTGTGTAAATACTCTGTAATTCATCACTTGACAAACTATTTATAACATAACTAAACGTATTATACGAGGTCTCCAAGTTTTTCTATCGAACATGTCAGAGACTATCTGTTTGATTTTTTCCAAAAACTTTACAGTCTTGAGCATTGGCCAAATTAGTTTATACAGACAGCGAAAACAAGAAATTGGCTTTCCTTACCATATAAAATAAAGAGACTACTACCTTTGTCGAGTACCGTTAATAATTCTGACATTGGAGAAAATATATGCGATCATTGATGTTTGTAATACAAACATAAGTAAAATTCCAGGATGGAGCACCGCCATTAAGTCTGAGTACATCGTTTGAGTCCTGCCAATCAATTGGAATAGAGAAGTTCCAAAGTGCAATCCAGGATTGCGTTTGTTTTGTTTTGCTTTGTGATCAGAGAAGAAAACTTGCGCCTCACTCCCTCACTCCGACCAGTCAGATGCTGGACTAAAATCAAACGTCATTTAGTCACCTGTGTTTTCTTACGCTCCACGTTGTCCGAACGTTTTTACATTGAGTTTCATTGGCTCAGAGAAATATTTTTCCTTGCTCTGATCATTGACTGTTGTGATCAATTTTGATTTCGTTTTAAGACATTTTTAAAATCGAAACTCGCTCGAAATGATCACCGTCACAACCTCTCATGTTCGAATGCTCTATAGACCTTGATTCGCCATTGATAACTCCCACCCCTTTGAAAAATTAAAGCGAAGAGTAGTCATAAGGACAAACTAAAGTTCATGGAGCGACTAGTGATGGCTGTAAATTTGCGTAAATTAAACCCATATTAGGGAAAAGGGGTGTTCTGAATTGTCCATTTACAGATTTGTGTATCAGTGCGATTGTAACATGCACCCCCAACCAAATCCATATATTTTTTTTTTTTTCAAATTTAAATGTGCTTTTTCTCAGCTGAAACAGTAGCCCCTCCTGATGAAATTTTATCAAAGACTGCGAAATAAAGCATACTAATTTTGGTGCTTGTTTAAACTTTAGGCTGCTCATAAGAGAAGGGCTTATTAATTATTGTTTAGGAAGAAACGAAAACGTTTTTCTTCAGGTTTCCATACGGAATGGGTCTTAGTCTTCCTAGGGGAACAAATGTAGTTGTTGCATTTTACTCAAATTAAGTGGTTTGTCACCAGAGCTGGCGAAGGAGATGTCATGTAGATAGATGAACAATACAATTCGAAAGTATAAGAGCATTTTAAATCATTTAATGGATTCATGCTTATCACGCTGAATTGAGTCGTAAATGGCCTTGATATCGGGCAGAGTTGCCGATTATATATCTATAGATAGTTTTTCTATTAATGAAAAATGAAATGGACATTTTTGCTGATTATATCTCTGATTAATGCTTTTTTTCTCTTCAGGATTGTACTTAAGTCTAAATGATTAAACCAAACAGGACAAAACAAAAGTTAAATTTGGACTTAGAGCACATTTTTAGTTTTAATCATTTTGAAGTAAATTTAATTTCCTTTGTGTACTCGGCTAGCGGTAACATGAGCCAAATATCTTTGTGTCCTCTTCATCCTTTCTTTCATTATTGACTTATCGTATAGTTTTATTCAAAGCTGAACTTGAACACGTACAATTCCTAGCTGGAGGTAAAATCAATTCTAACGAACTCATCCTGAGGTAAATTAATCAAATTAGCAACAGAATGTTCGGAAATTCGTGTTCCCGTTTCTAGCAAGACCGATTGAATAAGACCACACGTGAGAGCGTAATCTCCTGTTCAAGACAAGAGGATCAAAAGGTGTCGAAAGAAGCGCTATATGAAACAAGTTCAGCTGTTGGTTGAAAATCACCTGTAAATAAGTTGATTTGTTCCATCCCTCAGGCACACTAAGATGTCGCTGGAGAAAGCAATAGTGCTTCCTGCTCCACGTTCTTTTTTGCTTTCATTTCATATTCACAAACGACAAGGGTGAAATTGTCAAATGCTTTTTCATCACTTTAGGCGGATTTCCATCCACTCAACTGCCTTGTTGGCTCTTTCCCAAATCTCCCGGATCGTGACACTACGGAAGCATGCCGGTAGCACGCCTCCTCTGCTTCCGATCCTATTTTTGTGTGCGACAAAACTGGCACTTACATTTTCTTTCACGAATATGGATTATCCCCAGAGAATATCCTTGAATGCTAATATAAAGCAATTGATATAGAAATTGAAAAGAATAGGCTTAAGTGAAGATGCGAGTCACCAATATCTGGAGTTGCAGTCCTTCAATACGTTTGATTCGTGTCTTCCGTGAACAGGAAAATGGATTCGTTGCGATAATCCCATAATTTTTTCTTCTTCGTTGTTGCTATTTAGCTATCATCACACAAATTAGGCGCCAGCTAATTCGGTTTGTCCCATAAACCCCTCGGGGTTAATATCTCGTGATCCACTATTGAGTATAGTGCAATATAGGTAATTCAATATCAAATCTGTATCCCAGATAATCTGACTAAAAGCGCTTTTCAATGTCAGGTTTGATTCAAAAGAATTAGCCCGTTCTACCAGCTTCTTCTTGAATACGCATGATTTTGTTCATTAAGTACTATCTGTTTTGTTGACACACATGTGTTGTTAATTGCTTCTATTCATTTGTACTCTACTAAATAGATGGACTTATATTCAAATTCATTTATTATATGCTCAAGATATTTAGTGGCTTTTTGAGGTCCGGAGTAATAGCTTTTAGAGAAGATGTTAGGTTGTATCGGGAATATTTACCAGCAAAAACTCAAGAGGGTTATTAGAAATACCTTTGGTTTTTTCAAGATCATGTCAAGTTTCTACGCTTCACGAGTTTGATCTCGAAATAGCTGGTTGGATATGTTTTTATTCTTTAAGAATTGCAATATTTAATCAGATCAACCACTTGCATCGTAATGGATAACGAGTTCTACTCTGGCTTTCCTGGCGCCGAACAGTTAAAAAAATATCCTTATGCCTTACCACTGTAAGAACGTAAATCTAAAGCTAATTAATGAACTCCCCGCGCAAACTGACCCCATACACTTTCTTCCAATTTCCTTTTTAGTGTTATGAAAATAAATCATGCATGACAAAGGTTTACGATACCTTCTTCTCTATGCCCAACCTGAAGTATAGTAGTAAGCGCTCTTGTGGTGACTGTAGTGAGCCTGTCAGAGGACACTCTTGATAAAAGGAACAGTAATGTAAAATTGCCCTAAACGGAATTAATTTGAAGAGTTATGGAAGCTGTCAATCAATTTGACGCTGAGTGTCCCTTGAGGTGCGGGTTTGCGCACCTACGGGTCCTATCAATTTGTGAACTTTGTGTCAGATTTGTATTGTTGTCTCTAATTAACAAGAAGCGAAGCGCGTAGTTGTAAAAGAAGACGCTTGCGATCGATCAAGTTGTGCGCGCCTTTTCCAGGTATATTTCCCGGAGGAAATTCGTTGTTTATTGTTCATGTAGTTCCTTTAAAGTCACTACTAATAAATGCAAAGAACGATTATTATTTTAATGAAACTGGGAAAATTATGGCCAAAAAGACTCGGAGAGCATAAAAAGTGATACAGGTGCGTGATCGAGGGGCTTATCACTTTCATATGACATCTATATAAATTACAGAATGATGACCACCGTTTTAGTGATCTAAATATTCGTTCTTCGTCGACAGTTACACTTCTCATGTTAAATACAGTTTCCGTTGTTAAATCACCTTTTGTAGAATGCGTCAGTACAAGAGGATCCTCGTTAAATTCTTACTGACGGCTCTCTCTTGCTAATCCAGAAAGTTGAAATCAGCTAGCACACGATTTTTAATCATAGTAACACTGAACAAACATCGGTCAACGAATGCTGCTAAACCGCAAACTAACTAAAACGAACTTTTCCTAAAAGTGTGGCACCTGTCGAAGACTTAGGCGTTTTGCATTTTCATCGGTTGTTCTGTACTTATCGAGGCCACGGGTCGTCTTTCAGTCTATAGAATCAGAAAAATGCCAAAACATTTCATATTTATGTGATGTTTATTCAACTACGTTGGGCACCAGCACACAAGTAGCTGATTACAAGAGTTTTTTTCAAATTGGATGGTGCTTCGATGAACATTAAATTATTTTCCTCTTTTTGAAAGTATGTTTGGTTATTTCTGAGGCAAACAACTCAATTCAAGCTCACTCTGTAAATTGAATAAAATTCGGTCCAACAATTATGATTATGGACTGCTTTACAAGCTCTGCCACTTATCACGAGAACTAGTTTAATTTTAATATTTTTTGGCCAGTGTACAAGCTCACTTAAACTTACAATGATCGTAAATAGTGAACTGTTAGAGTTTTTGATAATTTTTTAAACTATAACAGGCCACTCTGAATGTCTAAGACTTTTAAAGGATTTTCAATTTCAAGGACTTTCAATTTTTACGGTATCAGTTTGACTCAAAGCAGCTGTGTTTGAAGTCAACAAGAACTCATCAATCCCTGTCGTGAGTGAACCACAAGCTTGCTGAGTCTCCACAGGGTTATGAAGTTGCTAAACTCAAAAACCCACCAGGAACACCAGATTAGCAAGAGTATGCGAACGGGATTTGACATACCTTCTCAATAAATTACCCCTGGCTTTGCAAATTACTTTGTGGGAGAATATTTGACAGGCTGATATATATGGAGTGAAATAATGGAGTGATCAACAGACACTCCCCTAAGCCTTAGAAAGATCTCAGGCTAAATGACTCATGTACTTATGGATTACTAACATCAGCAAATCCGCGAAAGAACAGAGCAGGGAAGGGTAATATCCTTTTCCACGTTCAGATTTTAAATGCAGCTTCACAAGATCGTCGAAATGCAAACGAAGTCCGGCTCTTTTGTTTTTCGAGTGAGCTTAGGCCACATGTATACTTAAGACAAGTGCGTCACCACAAACGTACCGTGTAAACTTGTATTCCCATATTAAAAGTGCGATGTATGCAAAACAGGGAAACCATGGTCAAAGGTTGACGAAAACCACGAAATTACTTTTGAGACCAAAATTTGTGACTAGAGGTAGATTTCAATATTTATCTTATTTTGCAAGCGAAATTAACTATTTGCCTCGTCCAATAAAGTGAAATTCTATGTTACGAAATTGACTCCTACGATTCCCTGTCATAACATTAATTTGTTGGCTTTTTCTGGAAACGTCTTTACTGATTTATTGATAAGCCAGGAAAATTGGATTCACAGTCTGAAAAGTTTTCTTTTCTTCACAAACAAGGAAATCAAATTTCCTCATTAGAGAAGGATCGGGTTGCTTGAAATTGCCCCCAAATCAATAAATGAAATCAATTTATGAACGAAGATAGAAACACATAAGAGAAATTTACAATAATTCTATAGCAAAGTGAACACTGTGTAGCAGAATAAATGAAATACTATTGCAAAGATGAGATTTTTACAATTTTCAGAGGAGCCGACTCAGAAGAAGTGTAAAAAACCGCATACGTCTCTTTACATCAGCAATAGTAACCCTGTGAGTTGGCTTACAAGAGCTATGTGAGAAATAGATTTCTCTTAAGCTCAAGAGAAATAATTGGGTGTCTGAGTGGAACGATTTCACGAGGTATACATTATATTTGGATGGAGTTTTTGACGTTTTATGGCAAACTATAGCAGGGTTGCTCAAGAGAAAATTTACTGCAACAGGTTAAAATTGTTAATCTAAATCTGCTTACACTGGTTGAGAATTGATGTCCTCTTTGGCTCGTCTCTTTGTCACGAAAGCTTGACCTTAACTCTCTAGTTTGAGTGCACGTGGATAATAATGTTCCATCTGTGGCTTTTCTTCCTTAAGTCCTAATTATGCTCTGACAGCTGAAATGGCGTAAATTGTTTAAGCGTCGGAAGGCTGTTCAATGGTTTCACGATAGCACACGCGCACAGGATGAACTGAAAGTACACCGCCCCCGAATGAGGGCTGCACTTAGAATCACTTACTTTCACAACGATTAATAACCATCTGTTTCATACTTCATAAGTGATTTATATTGTTACTGAAACCTGGAATGTCGAAATTGTTGCATCGTTCCATCGTTTTATGCTTTTGTTATGGTTCCTTTTTCCTTTAATTTTTTTCATTTACGAAATAAAGAAACACATAAATTACTTCATAGCACTGTGTTCTTTTCAAAATGACAAATTTGAAAAATCAGCAGCCCCCTTTGAGAGCTGTAGATTCCGCCCCCTTCACGAACACCTACGGTCGAGCACTCTCAATAATTTATGAGAGGATTTTTTTTTCGGCGAGTGGAATAAGTTTCATATTTGTTCCAGCTATTCAGGAAAAAGAAAAGACACAAAGAGAAAACATGTGAGCCCCGGGCAAGATACTGCTCTTTCTTTGTTCCGGTGTTCAGATTATTTCAGCTGTTTCCGCATTCAAAATCTTCGTAAATCAGAATGAAACTTGAAAATGATACTAAGAGTGTAGAAAATAGTCAAAGGGGAGATGATAACCCCAAAACAAAAGGATGACATAGGATGGAAAAAAGTAAGGTGGACTCCAAATTACCAATTTTAGGATTACTTGAAAGTTTGAATTTCCAGTTCCACGAACCGTGACATGGTTTCCTCAAACCATTAAGAAGACCGGCAAACATGACAAGAAACAAGTCTTTCGAGAAGTACTTAATCCTGGTGTACTATGCGTTTTTTTTTCCTCTTTTCTCTTCTTTAGACTTTGTCTACTGTAAAATTCAACGTCAGTTTTGAATATATTCGAGTTCCAGAACTGAGTCCTTCCCCTTAAAATGTAGTCAAGAGCAAAAAATGTCTTAAGTTCCATCTGGACGCGAATGACTAATCGTTTGCTTATCAAAATCTCGCACTAAGCCTTGTTTCAAAACAAAGCCTTTCGGCATCTCGGAAAACGGGTGACTATCTTCATGTCTTAGACGTGGAAAGAAACCTGACAGCCTATCTGGACTCACCCTCCCTTCCCATAAAACTTTCTCCTACGCCCCAGTTCCTCTCTCATTGCGTATCTAAGATGGCGTACCGACATGTGGTGAGACATCCAAGGTTGCAAGCTCGAATTTTTCTCTGTAATTGGTACATGAAGTTGGTTAGACCGGGAAGGGAGCTCCCTGAAAATACAGTCCAGTTCCATGTTCCTATGGAGTAAGTAAAGAATTCTGAAATCGGAACATCTATCATTTCAGCGCAAGTGAACAGTCCTAAGTATAAACTCGTCGGATGATGTCGAAACTCGAAAAAGAACTTTTTCTAGTCTTTCAATTACCTTATCGAGAGCTAAGTTGGAATTTGTCTTTTTTTATTCCTTGGGATAGCAGAATAGTTGAATTAACGAGTTTGAACGATCGAGAAATGAATGCGTTTTGAATATTTGAACACACACAAGTGGTGAAATGTTAACTCGACAGCTTCTTCGCAGTGATACTGGCCTTAAACTGGGCTGTAGGCACCCGTCACTAACATGCATTTAGTGTCAAGATTTTGTGTCGCACACTGATGATTTCCCAATCTTTCGTGCAAAATTATACTTAAGGTCAAACATGCAGTGTCGTTTTATACGATAGAACTCCCGAATGATTTTGTATCAAGATACTCCATATCTTCAAGAATCATTAATTTTTCAGCACTTTCTTTTACAGTAATTTTTTTTAAAAAGAAAACCACTCCTCTGATCAGCAATGATGACTGTCTTCCCTTATGTCCCACTTATTTTAAATATCCATTCAGTGATATTTAAGTAAACAAAATGGAAGAGTTATCATTTTTAGATGCAGTAATCTCATTGTGCGGGTGTTTACTCTGTCTTATAGGGTTGGAGCTTCCTTTAGTCCTCTAAATCCCAAGATCTGATTGTCAATTCTCCCCTGTAGCTGCTACTGATTTCCTTGTAAATTAGTCTAAAGAATTTTGTGTGAGATCAAGATAACAACTTCTACCTGATAAATTTGAGTATTCTCATTACCTGAGAAGTTACAAGTGTACATGTTAATCACATTTGGAAGTTAAAGGGTTAAGGCTTCCTGTGAGCATGATGTGGCAGAAAAACTTTTTAGTCTTGGGTGTTAGTATAACATGTTTCAGAAGGTTACACAATATTATTTTATAGGGCATTTATGCAAGTTTTGTGAAGAATTGATACACAAAGTCTATTTGAGGAATT